CACACTACTACCCACCCCACCACACCCACCACTGGGCTTTACACCCCACCCCACCCACACTACTATCCACCCCACCCACCCACACACTGGCCAACCCCCCACCACACCCACACCATCAACACCCCCACCCAAGCAATCCAACACACCCCCAGCCACACCCACACCACACACCCCACCCACACCCACACTACTTCCCACCTCCAACCCACCACTACTATCCACCCCACCTGCCACCCACACTACTATCCACCCCACCTGCCACCACACCACTTATTCAACCCCACCTAGGCACCCACACTGGCCCCCCACCCACACCACCACCCCACCTACTGACCCACACCACACACCCCCACCCACACCCACACACTGGCCCACCCCTCCACTCACACAATTACTGGGCCACCCTGCTACACCCACACTGGCCAACCCACACCACTGGCCACCCTCCACCCACACCCACACCACTGGCACCACACCACGTCTACCTCTCCACCCGCCAATCTACACCACTGACCCACACCACTGGCCACCCCACCTGCCACCCACACTACTGGCCACCCCACCCTGCCAACGCACACCACTGGGCCACCCCACTCCTGCCACCCACACCATCAATCTCCACCTACACCCACACCATCACACCTACACCATCACACCCCACCCCACCCACACTACTGTACCCTGCCTGGCCACCCATGTACTACCCACCCTCACCCGCCTCCACACTAGCCCCACCCTCTACCTGCCACCCCACTACCCAATCTCTGCCTGCTTTCACCCAGTTATTACTTACCCACCTCTCACCTGCCACCCTTACTACTTAACAATCTCTGAATCCACACACACGGCCACCCTGTGCTCCTTGACCCACACTACTTACCCATCCTCACCTGAAGAACACTGGCCACCCCACTCACCCACATACCACACCCCACCTGCCACCACACCACTGGCTGTCTCTGTTTTACACGTAGAGGCAGGGCCAGCTGAAGCCTCCAACAACACACCACCACCTCCTCCTCCTCCACCACAGCCACCTTATCCTCCACCACCCTCCTCCAACCTTATCCTCACCACCCTCCATGGTTGTCATGATCACCTTATATAAACAAATAACATAATAAGAAAAGTTATGTCTTTGCATACAGCCCTGTCGAGAGTTACTGCCATTCTCTATTGATCTGTATGAATCTTATCTAGCCTCCTTTTGAAAGTTCAACACACACACTCTGTTTGAACCAATTCCTTCCTGATTTCTTAACAAATATCATCTGAATTCGAATGCTGAATAGCTTCAAACATAGGTTGGATGCTTATATGAGCAATAGGGGTTGAAAACGGAATGCTCCAGTATGAATAGGCCCGCTGCAGTTTTCACCATTCTGGTGTATGTTCTATGTTTTATGTTAGCTATCCAGCGTATTCGAGTTAATGATGATATTTGGAACTTGTTCCATTCATCCACTACCTGTTACCAAACCAGTGTTTACCTATTTCGCTCCTAAATCTAAATTTTTCAATTTAAACCGATTGTTACGAGTTCGCCCTGGTGATAATTTGAGTACCTTTTGTAATGTCCCTTTGTTCAGAGCTGATCCCTTTATAAAGTCGTTCTCACTCTACGTCTCTGAGTGAGTGTAAATTAAAATGCTTTAACCTGTCTCTGTACTATATTCCTAATGCCCGGGATTAGCTTGTCATTCTCCTGAATCCTTGTATTCATTCTTGCCACCATCCTGTCCCACCACCCACACCCGTCCCACCTGTCTTGGGAGCACCACCACCACACCTGTCTTGCCACAACCTGTCCTAAGTTTGCCACCATAACTGTCCTACCACCACCACACCTGGGTCCATCTTACTCACCACCACACCTGTCCCACCAACCACACACCTGTCTTGCCACCACCACACCTGTCCTACCACCACCACACCTGTCTTGCCACCACCACACCTGTCTTACCACCACCACACCTGTCTACCACCACCACACCTGTCCTACCACCACCACACCTGTCTTGCCACCACCACACCTGTCCTACCACCACCACACCTGTCTTCACCACCACACCTGTCACCACCACCACACCTGTCTTACCACCACCACACCTATCATCTGGGACTAAGTGACAGGTACTGATACTGGACTCATTAACACCACCACACCTGTATAATCTCTCTCACCTGCTGTTAATAAGGTCAATCTCACTAAGGATCCCTGGTCTAAAAATTAACATTCGGTTTATTAATTGTCCTTATATTAATGATAATAATTATCAAAGCATCATACTCTAGGCCTCTAGGGTATTATAAAAACAATTAATTATCAAAACTTCAATATGTCGACCACAGATCCTTAAACAGACACAGACAGACGAGTTAAATTACCAACTTTTACCATAATAAACTGAATGTATTTGAGAAAGGTGACTAACTAACAACTTCCCGTGTATCTAAAGTAAACATTCATTCACCTTTAAGTTCCTTTAACACTAACATCACCCTCGCCCAGGTGATGGTTGAGGAGGTATGGATTGTTAACTACCTGTGCCTCACCTGACCTGATTCAAGGTGTGGGCAAGTGTAACCTGTGACCCATCAAATGATTTAGTGACATTATCATCTGCGTGTGTGTGTGCGTAATAATAATAATTAACGATTTATTGAAAGTATGGCAGCCGGAAGGCTGAAAATATACAATTACGTAATTAGGGAATGGGTCTCTTGATTTACA